ATTTGTCATACAACAACTAGTGACACGTACCCACGTGACTCACTACACTGTTGATTGTAGAATTTTAGAGATACGATTTAGGGAATTATTATGTTTTGAAGAAACCTTCTACTATTTTTGAGTCTGACATGAATTGGTGGTTGAGGGTAGTTTTCACTCAGTTTGATACAAGAAGGAGCATGGAGTAAACATAACATGTTTTAGGCAGATGCTCACATGTAGAGCTTCAAAAAAATTCTGAGCTATGAATCCCATCTTGTTGTATTAGTAAGGACACCATTTAAAGATATGAAAATGAAGCTAAATATTTGAGTGTTGCATTTCCTTAAAGCCAGCCCTTCCCTGAGTTTAACCTTTATTTACACAGTTCCTGTTGCTATGGCAACCTCTGCCACTCCCATCAGTTGCAGATAAATACTTTTCTAATAGGTTAAATCAGAATCATAATAAAAGTAGTTTCCTACATTTTGAACACAAAAATAAAGTATTAATAGTTTGATTTATCTATAGCCTTCTTGTGGTCAATAGCTCTTTGCTAATATGACTGTAAAGTTTTCAAAAGGCAGAATAACACCAGAGAGGTTCTTGTAATTCCTAGTGCACAATGTGTTGGCATAAGCAAAATGAACTACGTTAGTTTTAATGTAACACATCTGCAGTAATTAGAGAATAAGTCTACAGTTTGTCGCTGGGTGTAACTGACTCTGTATGCAGGCAGGCCATCCAGCAGTAACTCAGCAGTCGGCATCTGTCGTGTTCCAAGTTTGTCCTTCAGTCTCTGAACTTCTATTCCCCTCAGCTGGCCGCCCTCATCTCGACTCACCTCTGCATAAAACAGAGACAGCCCCCTGCTTCCCTGTGAAACAGAAACACACATAAAAAATAACCAGTGAAATCTTATCGAGCGTGTTTTTTTTAAATGTGGTGACAGATAACAGTGGGGTGAAGTTGGCAGAAGTCATCAGTACTGGTGTAGTAGCTCCCCTTCTGTCCTGCACTCTTGCTAAAGTAAGAGTCATATCTGCGTCCGTCGCAGAGGTAAACCACTTTAAACCGTGGAGTTTGTATGAGCCATCTGTTTGGGGAACAGCCACCGTCTCAGTGCCGCTGCCTGAAGATGGAAACACAAAGCAGCAGCTCTGACGACTCACAGGAATCAGATTCTGTATAGATAACTTGTCCATCAAAAATAAAACGGAACAAAATAGTTACAATTTGATGCATTTCTCTTTGTAGCAAATAAATAAATGTCATGACATTTAACAGTCTTATTTCAGGATTGTTCCATTAGAAGGCGATGCTGCTTCACATGAACAAAATTGTCACTACTGACCCACATCAGAGCCTCCCTGTCTCTCTGTCATCCACTGCCCAGATGTCCAGAAACGTTCAGGCTGACGGCAGGTCAGACGGCTGTAGGCCTCTTCTACTGGTGGTGAAACACCTATGGACTTCACACACACACATCCAGGCAGTTATTCATACAACTTACATGATAAATAAACTTGAAAATTATAAACAAACCAAGTAATAGTACAGAATTTAGATTTACTGACAGCATTAGTTAGTGAGCTGTATAATCTTCATAAATCAAACTTTGGACTTAGTATTTACTGATAAAGTGACACATAAAGAAACAAAAATTATGTGTCACACTAAACACTATAATGATCTAAAGTTTTAATGTTTTCATAACTAACCATAGATTATTGTTGGAATCATTAAGACAAAAAAAGTGTAATAAAGATGTTGGTTTATGGCTGAATATAAAGGTTTCTATAAGTTAACAGAAGAATATACAGTAGTATGTTCAGCATGTTAGTTGGACAGATTTAATGTTACCTGGATGACCTTTGCCGCTCCATCAGTCATGGCCAGAGGGCACGTGTAGAGACCAGATGAGGGAGAATAAATGTACAACTTGCTCATCTGATAAACACGACTGGAGCACACGCAAAATGTATCAAAAAACGGGTTATTCAATTTGACACATATGAGCCAATCAGGAAAAAAAATGCACTGTACCTCCACTCCCCATATGATTTCTCATAACCAATAGCAACCAGTCCTTCTTGGGCTGATAGGTCTTTCATGCGTTTCCAGGCCTCAGAGGTCACAATGTGGTCCACTCTCCGACCCCAAGGGTTAAAGTGCATCAACCGTGGTGGGTTGACCTCACACTCTCTGCCCCACGTGTCCACTTCTTTGGCCACACGCTCTCCAAACGCACTCAAATCTGAGAAAACTGCCTGTCAATAAGAATAAATATTCAAAAATGAGATTTGGTTTAGTTGTTAAAATGATCTGGAATTGAAGTCCTTTAAGTTGGAAAATAAAAGTGCCTGGAATAAGATTTCCTTTAAGCTAGCGTTGTACTTTTAATATAATAAAAATAATAGTTATTTGATGAGACAAAACGAGAGTACAAATATGCATCACACATATAAACTAGATAAGACAAAAATCATGCCCTTGAACTCTATTACTAGTAAGCCTTATTCTCAAGAATTACAAGAATTCAAAAGCACTATACAATTGAATAGGTTCTATTTGGTATACCTCCTCAGGCACGTGTCTCCTAAGGTATCCTTTGAGCAAGGCATCCTCCAGAAACGGGTTCTTCAGTACTGGTTGGTCCTGAAAGAAAGGCCCTATCCTGGCTCTGCTGAATGGTAGGTAACCTGCTGCTGCCTCCCAGAGTTGTTCTTCGTCAGATTTTCTTGTGCCTGGTTCAGCTACACTCGCTGTTCTGATGTGGGTGAGCGGTCGGGAAACACCACGCCAGAGCTTGCAGCAGCCTGCAGCTGCACGTCCGTTCAGGAGGGCTGAATACACCGACATGGCTCAAGATCTGCCTGCTGACCACAGAAAAGAGTCAGTACCAGTACATACATTGATGTTACAGAAAGAACCCATCAGACATTTACTTACACTTTATATTGTTGGTTTCTATTCATGCTTCGAACTAATTTATTCAAGACAATTGGCTTTCTTATTGCTATTTATAATTAACACTTTTAAACAGCTTAAAACACAATGTATGTTTCCCAGACAACTGCTGCCCCATGGATCTTATGTTATACAACAAATAAGAAAAAAGTTAGCTATACAGATAAGCACTAATATGATAAACCATGATTCTTACATTATCTTTGATTTTTTATTTATTTATTTGGTGACCTTATGGACAGAAGATACTCCATGTTTTCTTTCTTTCCTACATTCAGCATGGAAACATATGAAAAGTTTTAAAGGATTGTCACCCCTTTGTGCATTACAAATAAAATGTTTAATTCTTCCTTACTACAAATAAATGTGCATCTTTTTTTATTTATTATGCAAATAAGCCATTTGGGACGGTTCACTTTTTGTCAGTCTGTCTAAACAGGTCTCACTTGTAAAAGAGTCTTTGAGGCTCAATGTGATTTATCTGTACAAATAAAGTTGAACTTACTTAACTCAAACCTTTATATTTTACAGCCATAGTTTGTCATGTGTAGTTTTTTTTCCATTATCTTTTAAATACATTAATATCGCTAAAAAATATGGCAATAAATGTTGCTCAAACAACTACTGTAACCCCATGTTGTCGTGCTTAATAACACCTGACCCACAGGATAACACTGAATGATGAAGAATCTGACAGGTGGTTGAAAATGGGTGACCTACCCGGTACTTGTGTTTGCAAATTTACCCTTTTTATTTTTTTCCCCCCTAAATCATTTTATAACATCAGAGACTAAAAGAATGAGAAATATGTAAATGACTTTTACTTCCTTTGAGGAACGTTAATTTCAAATTTTTTAGGATGTTCACACGTCATTAAATTAGAGACACTGACCATTATGACTTCTCTAGACTCTGGATTTAATAAAAACTGTTTTCATACTATATATATATATATATATATATA